TTCATTTCTACTATTTGGGGTTAATTTGTTATTTTGTAACTCTGAGATGGTTATTTAGAAATTGGTTTAGCGTTCCTCTTTCCTCATTCATATTTTAAAGCTAAAACTTTCTCCCTTGTTAGCCTGGCTTTAGCTGTTATCACATACATTTTGATGTAAAGTATTTTTAACAGGTTTTTATTCAAGTTAAAAATATTTTGTAATTTTTCACTGTGATTTCTTCTTTTATCCATTATTTAGAAATTTATTGCTTAGTTTTCACATAAATGTATTTCCAGGATAAATTTTTGTTTTTAATTTCTGTCTTAATTCCTCTGAGAACAGAAAACATGTCTGTCCTTTGAAGTTTGTTAAGATCTGGTTTTTGGTTCAGCATGTAGTCCCCTTTGGTACATGTCTTCTGTGCATTGTTCTTTTATTCTGATCTGCTTGTCCATCAGTTGAGGAGAAAGCTCTGTTAAAATCAACCTGTTACACTTGTGGATTTGAGATAGTTCGTTTAGGTTTGTCTTTATTACAGCATGGCTTTGTTAGCCAAAGTTTATTTAGGAAAAAAATAGTTTTACATCTGCAAAATTAGGACAATATTTAAACAAACTAGTATTTGGAGAAAGTCACAAATTACATTTCAGGTACAGTTGGTAGTATATTAGAATGATGTGTAAACATTTTAAAGAAACTGTACTTGTGTCAGAAATAGCAATGTTCATCTCTAATGTTGCTGGCAATAAGCAAGATGTTATTAATTAAAAGCCTTTGAGCTGTTGCCTTCCATGTGTCTTGAACAAGTTCATAATTGCCTTTCATATTTAACCCTTATTTTTCTTAGATTTATAAGTACACAAAAAAGATGAGAAAGTATTGCATTATGGAGAAAGGGGAAAAAAAACCAGTGAGAAACTTACTGCCTATGAAGTCGTTTATAAGCATTTTGCATCCTATCCATGATAACTTAAATGGGCATTTTCTGTGATTTAGTTAAATTTTTAAAAATATATGATTGAAGATTATGAGTTAATGTGAAACATTAAGAGTTTTTCCTACCTAAAAATAATAGCAAATAAGCTCCTGGTTACTGTTTTTTAGACAGAATACATGATATTTCAGGAACAGATTTCTGATTACATGTAAATATTATTATGTGCAATCAAATTTGGAGTTATCTTTCTAGTGAATTGAACTTATATTGATCTAATTGAACTTATATTGATCTAAAGTGTCCTGTGTCTGTCCCTGTAAATGAATGTATTACATTGAAGTTTACTGTGATAAAGTTAGAGCACACAGCTTTTTTTTGGTTTGTATTTTACAAGGTGTATATTTCTCCCTGTTTTCACTCTCATTCTTTCTGTATCCACATATGTAAGATATATCCTGTGTACTCATTGTATTATTTGGTTTTGTTTTTAAATAGAGTTCAGTTAAGTAGAGGTGATTTCTGTTCGTCTTTCCTTCCTTGCTTTCTTGTGAATTATTTATTAGTTCATTTTCCCCCTCTTTTAGCTTTTCAGCCATCCATACTTTTATTCTTTCAGTGATCACCCCAGAGATTACCAAATGTGCACTTGATTTATTAAAGTATAAAGTAAATGATAATTTTTTCCATTTCCTAGTCAATAAAAGAGTTTAGAATACTTTAGCTGCATTTGCTACCCTCCCCAGTTGTGTACTGTGGTTACTGTAGGTTAGAGATATTCATTTATTTATTCTGTTCATTGCACTTCATTTTTTGGTGCATATTCAAGCGGTATATGGTATCTTTTTTCTTTTTACAAGAGGAGGTCTCGTCAGTGTTTCCTGGTGACAAATTCTATTTCTGTTTGCCTGAAGTTGTCTCTATTTTGCCTTCATTTCTGGAGGATTTTTTTCCCCTCAGATACAGAATTCTAGCTTGGCACTTTCCGCAGTGCTGAAGCTAACCATTTCATTGTCTTCTGGCTTCATTATTTGTGTGAAGAAGTTGGGTAACTATTAATCTTACTCTACTCTTGCCTTTTGAAGTAAACCTTTTAAATAATTTTTTCTGGCTGCTTTTAAGATCTCTGTATCTGTGAGGGGACACCCTCCTCTTTCCTTCTTTGATGTGCCTAAATGTATTATATTTATTTTGCTTCAGGAATTTGTAGTGCTTGTTGAATGTGTGGCTTGATTACTCATTTGAAGTTCTTAGGTATTATGTCTTTATTACTCTGGACCAATATGTTTTTTCTTATCCTTCTGAGACTTCATCTACATGTATTTTTGGTTCCTTTCTCCATATTCCATATCATAATCTTCTGTATTTCTTATTCTCATGTCTTCTTTTCTGTTTTCTGGGCCATTGATTCTTCTTTTTCTGGCTGTGTCTAACCTAGTATTAAAGCAACTCATAAATTGTTTTCAGAATTGTGTTTTTATTGTTTTTTCTTTTGTTTCTTATTGTCTGTTAAGATTCTTTTGTTCATTTGCTTTTTAATTCTTTGAACATACTAACTTATTTAAATCTTTCTGTTAACACTTATGTGGATGTACAGTCTGTTTCTGTTGCCATTTTAAAATCTTGATTTTCAGTCATATTTTGGCTGGTCATTCTAAAATTCTAGGCATTTGATATGAAAATTGATAATAACTTGAATTTCTGGATAATACCTTTCTTCTAAGATTTACTTTTGCTCCTGGCATGTGGCTAGGCTAAAATCCCACACAAGCTCAGACTGATTGTCTTAATCTAATCAGGATGAGATGATTTGAAGCTATACTTCCTTCCCTGTACACGGCTAGGCCATTTTTGGTTTACCTTTATGCCGTGGTATAGTCCTTTGGAGTCTCACCAGATGGCCTAGTGTGTTTCTTGTTCCTCATTGGCAGGCCCTGAATCTCATTTTTTTTTTTCCGGTACCAGAGATCAAACCTTGTGCTTGCGAGGCAGGTGTGGTGCCACTGAGCTAAATCTGCATCCCTCTGAATCTCATTTTTGCACCCCTACTTTCAGATATCTGTTCACTTTTTCTGTCTCTCAGCCAATAGTTTTGGAATCTACAGTTAACAAATGAACTCAAAGTCTGGATTTCACCTATATTTTGTAGAACTCAACCCTGCAAATTATCACTGTTTGAAAGCTCTGCATCAGTTTAAAACAAATTACCTTTTTTAGTTTTTCCTCAGAAGGATGGTTTGAAGTAACCTACTCAACGGTGATCAAAAAGAAAATGCCCAGTTATGTTCTAGAATTCATAATTCTCTAGATTATAAGGGATATCACAAGTATTAATTAGCAGATCTTGTATATTTCAGCAGTAATATATCTGCAGTGAAATGCATGACTATTTATCTTGCCTATTACAGTGTAAGTTTTCTAGTGGAAATTAGAGTGATGTGTTAAAGAACTTGATTTGGAGTAAGTCACGCTCTATTGTTTATAATTCAATCTATAGAGGAAGTAGACTTGTTCTTTAACACAGCTGCATGTTTGATTGGGTCCTAACATCATTCAGATCCTCTTTTTCCTTTCTCATTTGTCATGGGACGGTTGCAGTCATTGTCCTCTGATTGGCATGTATGCTCTCATACTCAGGTTTGAATATGAGGCACATTTTTAGGAAAGAAATTTCCTGACCCAAAAATTGAAGTCAGGTTTAGGTCATATAAATGAGCTTTGTAGTTTTGAATTACATAGACTCATTTGTGTGATGATTTGATTATTTCCCCTCTGCTAGACTGAATTCTAAGATTAAGAATGATATCTTTTTTGTTTCTTGATCAGTTGATCTTTTTCTAGTTCAGTGTTTGGAAGTGTCTTTATTGTAAGTAGGTGATCAGTTAATAGATTATCAATTGTTAATAGGCAATCAGTTAATATTTTTATGAATGAAAAAACAAAATAATTAAAGAAGGTAAATAAGAAATGATGTACTGGTAGTGTTGAGAAGCAAAAGGCCTGTTGCTTTTGTGCAAAGCCATTTTTAATCAAATACTGGCTTTGCATAATATGCTTGAAGTTTTGTAGATACACACATACAATCAATAAAATTCCTTGGAAATTTATTATTGTGCCCATTTGGGGATTTATTTCCTATTCTTTCATAGTTATTTTTGTTTTTGTTTTATAAGTTTTAAAAGTACTAGGTTTTTAAGTGATAAATCCATCACTCAGATCATTCAGATGATCATTGCCAGTCATTCTACTACAGAGATAAGTTGGAATTTAAAAATGTTGAAAATTTTTAAAAATCTTGAAGGGTTCAGTCTCAAAGGAAAGGCAACTTAGAATTTACGCACACGTGCGTGCACACATGTACTCAGAGGTGTTGTGGTTTATTGTACCAAGGGAAATTGGTCTTGGCTTTATGAGGCAGGTGACAGTTTCACTGAATCTCGACCAACCAAGAAGTGTTCATTAAATGCCAAATAAATAATATTTTATTTAAATGTATATTATTATGAAAGTTGTTGCTAGTATCATTGTGGATTTACAAATAGTAATTTGGCTGGAGCCCAGGATGATTTGGAAGAATTTGTAAAGGCAGATTGTGGCCATCCACATTTGTTACTCTTTGGCAGGAAGCCCATCAGAAATGTTTAAGAAGTTCTATATTTTTTTTTTCTATAATTTTTAAGAAAAGTTATGCAGCCAGATTGAGTTCATAGTCTAATCTCTACCCCTTACTATGTGTTTCAGTGTTCCTGTTTATAAAAAGGAGATGGTAATTGTACTGATTAAATAGAATGTAGTTAGGGTTGAATGAATTAAAATTTGCCTATACTTAGAAAAGTGCCTAGTACATAGAAAGATCTCAGTTATTTGTTCTTGTTGTTGCTTTTATTTTATCAAGAAAACTGCAAACATTATATTACTTTAGCAAGAGTGAAATTAGTAAGACATGAACTTATTTATTCTGTATAATCAAGGTTTCACCTGAATATGCAATGTGCAGCATAAAAGCAGATTTGAAATTTGTATAACATTTTTATGACTTGCAAATTTATAGAACTTAAATCTTCTAATTTTTGTTTTCTTTTAGATCTTATAGAAAAATTTCAGCTATAGCCCTTGGACTAGAAGCTGAAATCATAGAAGCTGTGTATGATGCGTTAGGGTATTGAAGAAAAATAATTTTTGAATTAAATATTTGGAATATAAGGAAGGAAAAGTGACTGAAAATGGGGCGGAAGAAAATACAAATCACACGCATAATGGATGAAAGAAACCGACAGGTAAATAAAACTTAATTTATCTATTTTATTGATATAAGAAAATTTTAAGAAGAATATAGAATACAATGGTTGAATTTTTCTTACATGCAATTTTAAATCGTAAGTATTGTCAGTTCCAGACTAAATGAAAAATTCTACAATCATAAAATTGTGGTTCTTTTCATCATGTACCTTAAGGAAACTCTTTCTATTACAGAAATATCAGGTATGTTATTGATATGACTATATTCTAGTCAGCTAAATTTTCTGGTTAACTAGTAAAGAATGGAATATTTTTATACCTCTTCTTGTCACTGATAATTTGCAAAACATTTATGTATTATGTTCATCTTTAATTTACAGTATCAGTGTCAATAAATCCTTACAAATTCAGAATAACTATAATGATACTGATACATGCAGAGACCCAAAGTTATGTTTAGAGCTGATTGGCAAACTGTGGCCCACAGGGTAGCTGTGTGTTTTTCTAAATGGGGCTTTGTTAGAACACTGCCATGGCCATTGTTTCCATATTGTCTATGGCTGCATTCACATGACAGTAGAGAGGTTGCTACAGAGACTGTATGGTCAGTCCATGGGCCTAAAATCTTGGTCTTTGATGCTGTAAAAATGTTTGCCAACCCCTTGGTTTAGAGAAAAGGAAAAAAATTCATGGAATATTATAAATGAACTGCTGTTCAAAATATGCAAGAAGGAGAGATGCTGTCTCTGGGAAGGTTGCATATTTGTAGAAGTTTCAAGATCAGTTTCTGAAAGCTTATTAGGAGCGGAATAACACTAAAGATTTGTTCTGCAGAGTAGTAGTTTACCTGAATATAGATACAGTTGGAGACAGATCTCAACAGCTAGTGAGTCAGTTGGTGGGAGTGATCAGGGTTGCCCATAGACTGAACTGAAGTGGGCTCTTGTTTCAGCTCATCAAAGTTGCTTAGGGTGGAAGGCCCAGGCAGTGTGGTAGGTTATGAAGGCTGTTACAATAGGGAAGACATAAAATAGCATTCTGTCTTTCTAAAGGAATGATTCCAAGCAAGGCTCCAGGTAATCTTCTCTTCACACATCTCAAGGTCATGACACATGGAAGGAGAGTAGCTTGCATTATGAATTCATGCAGTACAAATGTTGTAGGGCAGTGGTGGCAAACCTGTGGCACGCATGTTTTTCTTTTAGACAAAATATGTTAATGCACGAGTTGTTTTTTCTAAACTAAAACCTCAGTTTTCAGGTTTAATTGCAGTGTTGGCACTGTGCAATAAGTAAGTGGGTCTTGGTTTGCAGTTTGAGCATCCATCTCTCTAAAAGCTTTGCCATCACTGTTATAGGGTTATTAGAAGGTAACATAGAATCAAAAAATAGCAGAGCTTATAAAATCCCTGAGCTCTCATCCCACAGATAGCCTTATTTAAAGTGGCCACAGCTTCACTGGACTTACCTGTGGGATAGACTCTACATTTTTAGAGGAAATAAGGAGAGCTAGGAATATATAGGCAACTGTAAAGTAACTTCTAAGTTGAGGAAATGACTTTGTTAAAAAGGAGGTGTCTGCTGCTGCAGCTCAGCAATTAGAATTAGCCTGTTCTTGCATGTGATTTATCTGATAAGTCAGGCTTTTCCATAAACTGCCACATGGGGCAAGGGTTCTTTGAATTTCTCTTTCAAGAATTTCATCAAAAAGTGAAGAAAAGACATAGATGTGGTTGGACAGTTTTAATAGATTAGGTAGAGACACAATCTGACAAAAACTTAAAATGGTACCTGAATTTTACTGATTTTTGAATTTGCGCATTCTGAATATAAAATTTTTCTTGGATAAAGGAGGACAGTTGCTTCTTATGTCATTTATTTATTCAAATTCAAATATGTACTATATGCAGGGGACTATGTTAGGTCCTAGAAACTCGTTAAAAACATATAGCTTACAGAGGAGATACATGTAAATGGCAAATAGAAGTAAATTCAAGTATGGGGAAGTTTGTGAAAGAAACCACTGACTTCTAGTGGAGTCATTCAGGAACCACTTTGGAAGAATAGCAAATAGTTAAGAATTACAATATGAGCTAGCCACAAAAAGTCACACTTCTAAGTCATTGGAATGGCACATGAAAAATCTTCAGGGTGACAGTATCATGTCTTACAGAGTTACTTACTGCACTTCTATTTGATGGGCTCTGGTGAAGCCTTGTGTTTGTCCTTTCTTATCTAAGAGACTCTTTAAGAGTAAACTTTGTAGTAAAGTAAAACAGAAAGAACAGTTCATACTTTTTTTTTTTTTTTGGTACCGGGGATTGAACTTGGGTCCTTGCGCCTGCGCAGCAGGCGGCGAAACCACTGAGCTAAATCTCTGGCCCCAGTTCATACATTTTAAGTGTGTGATTCAGCGAACTTTGGCAAAAACAACATGGCCATGTAGCCAGCGTATCCCAGTGCACCACCCCAGAGGCACTCTGACTTGTCTCTCAATCAGAATCTCCCTGCCCCAAGCACAGTCACCGACCATAATCTAACACCACATATTAATTATACCTTTTGTTGTTTTTGTATGAATGACGTGTGTTCTTTTGTGCAATGTTATGTTTGTGAAATTCAGCAATGTTATTGCTGCATATAGATATGTGTACATTTGTATATATACACAATATATTTGTACATTTTTATTGGTGTATAATTTTCCATAGTGAACAGAACAGAATTTATATATTAAATTTTTTCTATTGTAAATAGGTATTTAGATTGTTTTCTACTTAGCTACTATTATGAAGAACATTGTGTTGAATATTCTTATTTTGTACATGTGAATAGTTGGGTATATATCTAGGAGTACAGTTACTGAGTTATAGGGTATATATGTGATTTGTTTTAGTAACAGTTAACAGTCTTCCCAAGTCCTTGTACTTCACTGTCAGCAAACAGTGCATGAGTTCCAGTTGCTCCGAGTCTTCACCAGTACAGGGTACTGTTCTTTTCATTTTAGCTATTCTGCTAGGTGAGCAGTAGTACCTTAGCAAGTTTGCACAATGTCTGATGTTGTTCACCTTTTATAATTTTATTGGCCACTTAAATACTACTTTTTTGTGTGTGATGCCTGCCTATTCACTCCTTTTCCTATTTTTTTCTGGTGGGTTTCCTCCCTTCTCCCTGCCTTTTGATAGTACTAGAGATTGAACCCAGGTCTTACTACCAAGCTATATCCTCAGCACCCCCTCCCTTTTTCCCCTTGAGATACAGCCTTGCTAAGTTGCCCAGGCTGAGCTCAGACTAGCAGTTCTCACGCCTCAGCCTCCCATGGTGCTGGGATATGGGTACTATACTTGATTGTAGCCAAAGGCTGAGAAGCGACAGGGATGACAGGCATATACCACCATACTGACCCTTTTTCTGTTAATTAGTATACAGTACTTCATATATACTCACATACATACACCAGGGTGTTTTGTCCATTTATATACATTACAGATAATTCTCTTGCCTTTTTACTTGCCTGATCTTTTTGTTTTATAAATAACATTATGTTCACATTGTCCCATTTTAAAAAAATTATTTATTTATTTTTTATATGGAGTCTTGCTACATTGCCCAGGATGCTCTTGAACTTGGGCTCAAGTGATAATTTCACCTCAGCCTCCATAGTATCTGGGACTAAAGGCATAAACCACCTGGCTCACTTTACCTTTTTGTTTTTACCTTTATGGCTAAAGCTGTTTATGTCATAATTAATCCTAACATGTCTCCAAGCTATGAAGACAATTCTTCTGTGCTTTCTTCTAGAAGTGTTTTTGTTTTTACCTTCCATGTTTTAGATCTCTTGTCTATTGGAAATTTATTTGGGGATATAGTTTGAACTGTAGGAGACTGGATTTGATGCTTTCCAAATGGATATTTAGTTGACTCAGTACAACTTCCTGCATTTATTTCCTTTCCTTGCTGAATTTGTTAGGAGTTAAATAACAATGTATGTGTGGGACTGTTTCTGGACTCTATTGATTATTAATTATTTGTATGTCCTTCCTTAAAGGCACACTATTTTAATAATTTGATAGTAAAGTTCTCTACTATTGTTTTCACATAACTAGCTAGCTATTTTTTCCCCTTTTCATTTCTAAATGAAACCAAGTGTCTATTAGTGTTCATCAAAGAAAAAATAACCAAAAATCTTACTGGAATTTAGATGTTTTTTCTACTGAGTATGTGGATCTATTTAGGGTTAATTTAAGGCTTTACAATGTTGTCTTATAATCCATGAACATGTTTACCTTTCATTTGATTTTTATTAATTATCTAATGCTTGATAGTTTTCCATGTACAGGTCATATCTTTTGTTATTTACTCTTAGGCATTTTTTTAGCATTATTATAGTTTTACTCAAATTTCATTTTGTATATGTTGCTAAATACTATGCATAAAAGTTCTTTTTATATTAATTGTATATCTAAAAATTTTCCTGAAGTTCACTTATTTCTTATACTTTATATGTACATTCATCTATAAGTTTTGTATAAAACATGATTCATTTTTCTTGTATATATACCTAGATTTGGAGTTTCTGAGGTAACTAACTGTAAGCTTAACATTTTGAGAAATCTGCCAGGCTGTTTGTGGCTATACCATTTTAATTTCCACCAACAATATGTGAGGGTTCCTTCCATTTTTCTCACATTCTAGCCAACACTTTTTATTGTCTTTTTTATTACCCTAGTTATCCTAATTGGTGAACTGTTATCTTGTGATTTGGGTTTGCATTTCCTAAGTGACTAAGGATGTTGAACATCTTTTGTATGCTTATTGAATATTTGCATATCTTTTTTATAAACATGTCTATTTAAATCCTTTGTCCATTTTAAAATATCTTTTAAAATTATGTCATCTTCATTTTTAAAACGTTTTATTGATTGAGGAATTCTAGATTTACAGTCTTACTACTTTGAAGCAGTTGTCATCTAACTGCCATCATGTCTATGGAAGCCAGCTTTTAGTCTGTTTCTCAAGGTAATCTGTCTTATTTTCTT